GTGAAGTTATAACATCAAAATGGGTTTCAATTTAAATAGGTTATATATTGGGGTTAATCGGATTTGGTGCTGGGTCTCTCTCCATTGACGGTCTCTTTCCATTGAGAGCATCATGTGCTGAGAACGAACCCAATAAATTACAGGCGAGGACTTGGTCTTGAGTTTGGATATATATATATATATATATATTCATCATATCGCATTGTACAGAGAACCCCCAAATTCGAAGCCCTAATTTTCAATCTTAGCAAATCCTCTCGTTCGCCATTGATTTTCAGCAAAAATTTCTCATTTACTTTCAAATCTCCATATTCAGGTGACTCGATCTCAAATCTCCATATCCAGTTCAGTTCCATTACTCATCGGTATCTTCTAAGTTCATCGCCACCATTGCTGTAATTCATTGAAGCTTCACGACTCCTACCATCGTTACTGCCACCGTTCTGATTTGCGACCATTGTTAAGAACAATCGTCGCCGTCACGTGGGTTCATCCTTGCATGCCGCTGCCGTTTCAGTTCAACTCATTGCCGTCTGCCCCTGTGGTTCAGCGCCACCATAGCGAATAGTCATTATGTTCTCTGGTAAGCTCGGCGTTGCCAAGCACCTCTGTCACTACCGCTACAGAACAGACCCACTTCTCACCGGTATTGAAGTTCTTGTTGTCGTTGGAGTTGGAGGCCAAAGAGAGGAAAAAAAAATAGAGAGGTGGATTGGAGAGAGAGCGGTTGTGGTGGCGGTCGTGGACGGTGGAGGTAGTTGTGAGGGAAGAAAATTCTGTGGGGGAGAGAACGGTGGCGGTGTCGGTGGTGGCCATGGGCGTACGGTGGAGGTGGCGGCCATGGACAGATGTTGAAGGTTGCTTGAAGAGAAAGGGGGATGTAATATATATATATATATATTATATTATTCCTCTGGGTCTATATATATATGTATATATATTATTCCTCTGGGTCTTCGTTGGCAATATATAGGTGTATTTGATAAGGTTATTTTTGTCTTTATAGATTTTAACCAATCACGTGAGTCATGTGCCTTCTTTGGACATTAGATTTCAATCGGTACACTAACATTTTGCAACAATTGAAATAGTTTAGGGGGTTAAATATATTTCACTTAGTTCAAGGGAGTTTATTGAGGAAGAGAAGAAAGTTGAGGGGGGTTTAATGCACTTAACCCTTAATTAAAAGTGCTCAAGATAATAATCATTAGTAAGTGGCTTAAAGAAATAAGGTGCCTAACTGTCTGTGAGCTCCAACTGCCCTTTGAACATGTGCATGTAAACAACCCAGTCACCATTCCCGTTTGAACTTGGCATTGGCATGATATAGCCAGATTCTCCACCCTATGGGAAATGGTCAAGGGCGGAGCCAATTAAAGCCCAGAGGGGGTACGTGCCCCTCCTCACTTTGCTCCAACCTACTATACATAGGTATATATTTTTGGTATATACATATACTTTTATAGTAATTTTAAATTGTGCCCCCCCTCAAAATTTGAAATTCTTCTAATTTTCTTGAGTTATATATATCCCTTCTTCAAGTATACAGTATATTTTTCCTTTTCTAATTTTTGCTTCCTTTTTCAAAAAATTTCTTTTTATACTTATGTATAATTGTGTATTTTTTTTAATTTTTTTTAACTTATTTCTTTTTATCGATGACATTTGTGATTTTATTTAATTAAAATATTATTAATTAATATTTTGTAACTATAATTTTTTTAACAGTATTTATTTAGTATATTATTTTACAACTTTTTTTTTTTTTCTTATTTGCCTTTTTGATTTAAAAAAATTATACTTCCTATTATTATTTTTTTTTTCAACAATTACGTTGTGCCCCCTCTAAACTAAAATCCTAGCTCCGCCCCTGGAAATGGTATGACCCAAATGTAGGCTTCCCCCACCCAAAGTCCACCTTCGAAACCGGAAACTTCTGCCCGGAGGACACCACGATGGCTGGCCCGTCGTCATTGCTCTTGCTCCTAGCATATATCATTGCCAGATTTGGCTCCGGACGATGAGCCTCCACCCAGTCTATCAGCCCCAAGAAATGTTCCTTTGTCACCGCGCTATCGAGGAACTCATGGATTGCATCCGCCACCCAGCTCACCGGCCTCTTCATGAGCTCGCCAGCTCTCTTCTACCCGAATGGGATGAACAGGACGTTCCCGAAGTATGTAGCCATCATCTCCGACTTCTTGACATTTCCTTCGCTCAGTCTCGTCCTACCATCCACTACAATGCCCATCCTGCACTTTTTGTTGCTCACTTGTTCACTTGCAGCAACCACCTTCCACAAGAAGGTGGTGAAGGCCTCGAGCTTAGTCCTCCTGTTCAGTGACAGAGTTAGGAATTTATTATAGTGGAAATTTCTTTTGCCAAGAGGAATACAGTGGCCAAAAAAAAATAAAAAATAAAAAATAATCACAGAAGATACAGAATATGACTAATTTCAGTTCTTAAATTATTACAAACTAGAATGGTAAATTTTACGTTGGTCATTTAAAAGACAATGATCAGCAACAATTTTAAATTGACAATATAATAATTAGGTAAAATTATTGAATTATCAATTTAACAATGTTGATGCAACACGTTTGAAATATGTTGAATAAGTGTTGCATCTTCAATCGATTATGATTCGCAGTCATGGTATCGGTTATGGTCACGGGTATCAATGGTGTAACGGATTAGGACGAATATCGGTATAAGGAGCTAAAAGGCTCTTTTTATCCTGTTTGAACCTTATTAACCTGAAATAGACAAAAACACAAATTAGAACTAAAACGGAAAAGTAAGATAGATGAATGGACTAAAATACCCTAACTTAGGTGTTAAAATGCATCACATTTGAGTACTTATCAGGCTGCAAACCCGGACTCCTTCTACGACAGGTACTTGGTATGACACCGGAATAAGAACTGAGTCTGGCTCTAATACCAACTGTAATGGATGGGCGCTTACCCATTTACCCAAAAGTTCAAGTTATTGGGTAATGTTGTATACCGATTTATTTATACCCCGTTACTTTTGTGATCCATTTATACCCAGTTACTTTTGTGAGATATAATTTTTGTAATTGGCTAATTTCTATGTCAAAACAAGTCCAATCAAATTGTAACTTTCAAGTTACCAAATCAAGATCAAGATCAGCTACGGAATTAGAAAGTTGTTCAAGTTTGATAAACCAAGATCTACAAAAAAAGTATGAACAACACTTTAGGAAGTTGTTTCGCACTTAGGACACTATACATACATGGTATGTTCTTCAAAGTTTCCAAAACAGAATTGTCTAGAACTGGTTTTGCTTTTTACTTACATTCAATTCTGTCATGTGGGAATCAGAACTGACTATGGCTACCGGTTCAAGATCTTTTGAGTCGAAGGAAACTTTCTGTCCTTTGGGAACCGGTTCCACTTCTGGCTACCGGTTCCACTTGCTGATACAGTTTAGGATTTTAGTTTCATGTTCTGTCTAAATTTCCTATTTGATATAAAAAAATTTCCAAAAGTCTTTTGCACGAAATTAAATTACCTTTTCATATGCATATCTAGGTCTTTGAAATTCTATATAAACCTTGATTTACATTTAGGTTAGTACAACTTTTGAATTACATCTTCTGATTCTTAAAAAGCCTATTTAAGAGATGTTTTGCAGAAAAATCAAATCTGATTTTTCATTCTTTATTTCTAGAACATATACATAAACACAAGAGTGATTTTAGGGTGTTGTCCAATTTCTGATTGTGTTCAAAGTTTATTGAATATTGTATCGACAACGATCAGTGAAAGCAGATGTAGTTTTTCTACATCAAAGTTCAGATCTTGAAAAAAAGGGGTAAAGCGATCACACTTTGAAAATGTTAAAGCATTCGAGGGGTGTTGCTTGATCTATTAACAATCTTTCTACAGAGATTAAGAGTAAGCCTGAAGTCAAGAGCTATTGGATGGGACGCAGCAAAGCTAGAGGATTGTCTGCAATTGATGTTTGGTAGAACGATAGGGTGTGAGGCAGAGTCAAAATCTATTGTACTTTGTTTCAACTATAGTGGATCGATTTACTTTGAACTGCACAATTCACGAGATTTTTTCCACAACAATTGGTCTATATATGCTACCAATTGGGGTTTTCTCGCAAAAAATTTCGGTGTCATTTTTCTAACTTTACTTGCTTTACTTTTAAGTATTTATCTTCGTGATTGTGGATGTTTAATTGATCATATTGCTTAAGTAATTTAATTAATTATAAAAATTGGGCAAGTTGACCTATTAATCTTATTTAGGTTATTAAAGGAGTTAATCACAATTAAATCAACTAACAACTTCCGCACCGCGTAACTCACAAATTTTCCATCTGAATATGTTGTGGGACAAAAATGAGTCTTATTACATATGTCATATACCTTTTAAAGATGATGGTAAAGGTTTGAGTTGCTAAAGAGTGAGTATAAATTTCTTATTAATGAAAAAAAAAAAAAAAAAAACCCTAATATAAAAGTCTATCCAATAGAATAGGAAAAACATATTTTAGGTATGGTAATATTGATTAAAAAATGACATCGTAAGCGTGTTTCATTAACTTTTTAGGGGTCGCACAGAAAAAAAATAATAATAAAATAAATAAATAAAAACAACTTTTAAAGTGGATCACCAGTTATGGAAAAAAAAGGTCAAGATGTCAAATATAGATAAACATGTCTCAGACTCTCGGCTCTCGTTTAGATGGGACTGTTTGGTTTTTATGTGAACAGTGTTTATTTCAGTTGGAATTATTTAATTTTCTTCTTTTTGCCCCATCTTCACCTTTGGAGTCATGAGATATATCAATCAAGTCGTGCGATTATTGCCACAAATAGAACTAATTTTTTTTTTTTTGTTTACAAGACAAAAGAAACAAGAAATTACAAAAAGGACGATGAATATAATAATAATAATAATAATAATAATAATAATAATAATGATGATGATAATAATAATAAGAAAGCAACTTATTTTTTTTACATGAATTCAAGATTTGATACAAGAAAGCAATTTATCTTTTTACATACTTAGTAAAACAAGAGCTTACAGATTATAATCACTTCCAACATGTCTTGAGAATGACAATTAATTAAAAGTGCTCAAGATAATAATCACTAGTAAGTGGCTTAAAGAAATGAGGTGCCTGACTCTCTATGAGTTGCAACTGCCCTTTGAACATGTGCATGTAAACAACCCAGTCACCATTCCCATTTGGACTTGGCATTGGCATGACATAGCCAGATTCTCCACCCCATGGGAAATGGTATGACCCAAATGCAGGCTTCCCCCACCCAAAGTCCACCTTCGAAACCGGAAACTTCTGCCCGGAGGACACCACGATGGCTGGCCCGTCATCATTGCTCTTGCTTCCGGCATATATCATTGCCAGATTTGGCTCCGGACGATGAGCCTCCACCCAGTCTATCAGCCCCAAGAAATGTTCCTTTGTCACCGCGCTATCGAGGAACTCATGGATTGCATCCGCCACCCAGCTCACCGGCCTCTTCATGAGCTCGCCAGCTCTCTTCTCCCCGAATGGGATGGACAGGACGTTCCCGAAGTATGTAGCCATCATCTCCGACTTCTCGCCATATCCTTCGCTCAGCCTCGTCCTACCATCCACTACAATGCCCATCCTGCACTTTTTGTTGCTCGCTTGTTCACTTGCAGCAACCAGCTTCCACAAGAAGGCGGTGAAGGCCTCGAGCTTAGTCCTCCTGTTCAGTGACAGAGTCAGGAATTTATTATAGTGGAAATTTCTTTATTTGCCAAGAGAAATACAGTGGCCAAAGAAAAAAAAAAAGAATAGAAAAAAGAAGAAGACTAAGTTCGGTTCTTAAATTATTACAAACTAGAATGGTACATTTTAAGTTGGTCATTTAAAAGATAATAATCATGATAAGGCAACAATTTTAAATTGACAATATAATAATTAGATAAAATTATTGAATTCTCAATTTAATAGTGTTGCAGTACTCTAATATTTTTGAAATGTATTGAATAAGTGTTGCATCTTTGATCGATTTTTAATTACGGCCACAATATAATGAATTCAGACGAATATTGGTATAAATTTATGAAAGTGTGTAACGATATCGGACTCTTAAAAAACAGTTGTGAACAAGCTGATACATCGTGAATCCACCGATATAACAAAATATCTTCAGCGTAAATATATTGCATGAACAGGTGCAACTGCCCCAGCTAATATGTAATTCTCACATGGATCTGTCCTTGTCCTTGTTTCTGCATCCATTGTTGTTGGCCAGAGACTGAAGCCTACTAAGCTGCTCGGCTTCAACGTAGTAGATGCGGCTTATCAGCTCATCACCGGAGAAATTGGAGGAAGAGTTATTTTCCCTTGGAGGTGGCAATGCTGAGACTGCCACATACATATCATCAAGGGACGGATGGTAGCAGCCGGGATGCCGGGGGCTGAGCAGAGACCGCCGGAATGATGGCAGCCGGGAGATCGGTTTGGACCGAGCCTTCTCGGCCCAAGATACAAGAAACATGTTGGCCGAGTAGGCGTCTGCCACTCGATGGTCGAACTTGCACCCTACCACCAATCCTCCACACTTGAGTTGGGTGGCCTGCAAAAGAAACAAAGTCAATAATTAAGATATTTGGTAAGGAAATACAGTAGTAGTAGGTGTAACATGATTTGAAACGGGTCAACATCCTTCAACGTCCTCATTCGATTATTTGAAGGTAAATTAGACTAAACAGAACTCCGTACATGGTTGTTGGGCTTCTTGAATCCTATACCACGACTTTAACTGGGGTCGGTTTAAAATAGTCCATAAGTTGGGAAAATATTGGGTATTTTGGATAACGACAATATGGTTCAGTCAATAAATATTCTTGTCGGCAAAGGAAAATAATGCGTATAATTATTTGCCGAATGTACTATATAATTGATACTCTCACGTCCTCAATATTTTCCAAACAGTGCTACAAATTTTTTTATGAAATTATCACGAAACGATATATTAATGGTAAATATGTATTCACAAAAAAAAAAAAAAAAAAATTGTAAATATGTATTTTTTTAGTCTTTTTATTACTTTGTTTTTCTCATATTCGGCTTAATCTCTTTCTTTAGCGGAATATGAGAAAAACATAAAAATATTATATATATGAGTTCTATTTTTAATCCTATAATCATATATGTAAGAGCATTTTCAGTGGTTGTTTATAATTTTGTGTGTAAATATGATGTGTCATAGTGAATTTACACAAAAAAATTTGAACTAATAATTTTTAACTCCAATCATTGTTTTATAGCTCCTTTCGTGTAAAAAAAAAAATATGTCAATAACAGCCAACTGCGTGTCATGCCCAAGACCCCACATAACTTTTACAAACCTACTTAACATAGGGTTGATTTGTTAATGGAATGAGAAAGATGGGAGAGAGAAAATATGTTAACGTGGCTGTGTAAAAAGATTGTTTAAAATACATAACAATTTTACACATTAATAATGTGACAATATATCTTAACATATTTCTAGTGATAAAATTTTTTTTTACAAGTATATTTTACACAAATAGTCTTTTAACACAATGCTAGAGCTAAGAAATCAGATAAGAAGATACCTAATTGACTTTATAAAACATTAACTTTAAAACTAGTTTGAGTTAGTTTTGAATTTGTAATCCATCTAAACATCATATTAGATTCCATTCAAATTGCAACGGGACAACTCATTATATATATATATATATATATATATATATATATATATCATCATAATGCTTCAGTTCAAAATCCTAAATTGAGAAATGAACAAGACACACAGCTAACCCCAGATTAAGAGATGCTCAAGATGAAACAATTTGCTAGTTTGGTTTTGTGTAGGCATTTTTTCTTTTTTCTTTCTCTGATTAATTCTTCCCAAAAATAAATAGTCCATTTCTTATTATTTGACTTGATTATTTAACTTAGTTCTTTCCAAAATAAAAATCCACCTCAATTATGATAACATCACAAAATTCTATTAGTCATCTTTAACATTTTTCTTTAAACAAATATTAAAAATTAAATCACTACAGAAGTAAAAGAAAATAAAAAATTATTTAACCCCACTCATTCTAAACTGATTATATCATCAGTATCATGACTCTTCAGTTGTAAGTTAGGAAATCACTCTTATAAGTATTACCATCTAGAGAAAACACGCGCGAACAATACAAAAAACACACAAAAATTGGAAGAGAGTTAAAGATCTAACTGTTGATCATGCCATGATCTCACTGACCTGGACAGAGAGCACTCCATGCTTCTTCTCAGGGACCAGCTTGCCTTCTACGCTCTCATCAGGATTGTAGAGGTTGAGGTCTCGGAGCTCCACGTCGGCAAAGGCTTCTAAGAAGTCCACCCCACGGTTGTTGCAGAGGAGCTCCGGCTCTCCCGCGGGGTTCTGCACTACTTCCCCGGCCCATGCATAGTAGGGCACCAGAGCTTGAGCCATTGCCTTCTTAAGGACACTGACCATGTATGTAAAACTGGTGGACAATAGTTTCTCTTCAGTGGACGTGGGTTTCTTGTAACAGAAGAAAACACCCACATCCAATGGAGGCAACAGCAAGTCCAGGTTGGACAGTTGCAGCCAATGCTCTTGCATTGGCAACAGTGCTGCCACCACTTCCTTCACCGTTATCCTCACACAGAAATCTCCTTTTGCTGCGTCCATGTGTGTGTGTTTTTGTGTGTGAGAGAGAGTATTTGAGGAATAGGTTTACATGACAAAAGACTTGATATATAGTATTTATAAAGCACTTGAGTGAGAACTAATTAGTGATATCAAAGTTTATTAATCTAACTCAATTATTATTCATTAGTTGTGGCAGTTGAAATGGGTTAGAAGAAACTACCCTCCAATCTACCCATTCCATTTCACATAGAAAATAAAAGGAAAATAAATAATTGAAACCCTCCCTGCTTACTTTGTACTGTGCTGGAAATAGTATATAGATGACAATTTTTTAATCAGAAATTATTAAATGGTATGTGATTTCAGTGAATCACAATTGAATAAAATTGACATTGTTTATTATTGATCGATACCATATGCTCCCAATTTTTTTATTTATGTGCATGCTGATTACCATGAACTTGTGCAACAGTGGTTTAGATGGCTTAGTGGTTGAGTGAAATAGACTAGTTTACAGTAACAGGTTTAGGCTTAGTGGTTGAGTGGAAATAAACTAGTTTACAGTAATAGTCACGTATTAGCAACTTTATTTCTAGCCAACCCGTGTGCTTACCAGGACCACTATATTAATTTCTAGCCAACCTCATACTAACGTCAGTATTCTCCTCTGTACAAGTCTCATCATGCGCGGGCCTTCAATTCCACAAACGGCATGTTTTGGGGCACGTGGGCATCAAGCCCACATCTAAATTGCTTTTAGATTCCAAAAACTTTAATAATTGGCCTTCTTAAAATAAAATTATAAACCTCTCAATTTTCACACAATGTTCGGTTCAACTTTTTCAATTTTCATAACTGTCCTTCTTTATTTATATAACCCCTCTCACAATCTCGTCTATTACTTATTCATAGACACGTAGTATTAGAAAAACGGAAGTTTTTAAAATTTTGAGGGAATTTCAAATAAAGATTTTGATTTATGTATAAAGACAAGTTTTATGTATAAAGAATATGATGATACATTCAATTAGAGATAGAAAACTTATAATGTATGAGTAAATCTTAGATTTCTCCTCTAAAATGAATATTCTCACTTAATGTGGATCCCTTAGTTAGGTACTTCTTCATTGGATCTTCATCTTCTTGGTAATGATCTTACCTTTAGAAATCACCCATAAGCCTTCATGAATGACCTTAGAGAGTTCAGCTTGTGGGAGCCTCCATCAGATAAGAACACTAACTCTAAAATTCAAGAGAAAGAAAATATTTTCTTTTCTTCCAAAATTATTGGCGTAATATAAAATATACATGGATCCATGTATATATAGGCAAAATAAAAATAATAATTGAAGACAATATATTTTTCTCAATCTTTATAATTAACGTGATATCTCAAATCTAATGGACTTTCAATATCAAATTGAGCTATGAGTGAGAATCCTTTGGACTTATTATTTTCTTGGCTACAATGAATTAATGATTAGCCTAATCTATTATACCATAGACCCAATTCAATTAATTCATATATTAATTTCTACTCCACTAAACAAAATTAATTGAACTCCAATTAAATAATAAATAAAATCTAACTCAATATTGCATTTTGACTCCTCTATGCATAATTAGTTATCGGATAAATTAAGTCATCAATGCGACTACTAAATTAACATATTTATTTTGGTACCTTTGATTATTTCTGACTTGATCACAATAAAATATTAGTTTGACAAAATAATAATTTAAATAAATAAATATATAAAAAATTATTTTGTCTAAAAACACACGAAGGCTTTCGAATTTACTTTGTGATCAACCATAATTAATACAAAATAAATACAAGTAGTAATGATGCAAATATTAAAAATATAACTCTCTAACTATTAATTATATAATTATCCAAAGTGTCGGTTTATGGATTCCGAAGTATATGCCGTACAAATTAAAGTAATTACTAATTAATAAAAGAGTCTATAGTTTTCTCAGGCTTAAGAGTCAAATGCCATGTGTAATGACTTGGTCATTTTCCTCCCTTCCCTTTTTTCTCAAATTTTACGGATAAATTTTCTTTTTCAAGTTCTATTTCTCGTCACTGGGTATCGTCTCGAGTGCTTGGAAATGGTTTACAAGACTCTTTTATTTGGATTGATAACTTCCTTTAAGGATCGAGTCACTTTCACATTTTTACTTTTGTAACATTATTCACATTTTGTCTTTTTTTCGTTTGTCACTTTGTTGACACAACCTCACTTTTCGTGTTCGGATTTGATTCCGGTTTTGCATGCATCCATGATATTTAAATTCCATGCCATGTGTATTTTTGGTTTCCTATACATGCATGCCATTAGTGCACTTTCTTCCTTAAGGGTGTGGATGCACACTTTCTTTGAAAACTTTCTTATTTTTGGGGTTACTTGTGCAATTACTTAAAGTAATTATTTTTCGTCTTAGGGATCATTTTGTAATTTTATTTGAAAGATATTTTTGAAAAGGACCTTTTTTGCAATTTCTGAAAAAGTGTGACAAGTGTTACATTCTCATTGGTCCACTTGTTGACATTTGTGTGGAGACACTTTGATACCTTGGATGATGACATATGGAGGGTGGAGATTCAACCACTTGTTGACCTAGGATAAGTGCACTTGTTGGCTTGGATGGTTGACAAGTGTAGGCTTAGGATTAAGCTTACAATGGATGCTTAGATAAGTGACAAGTGTATGCTAATTAAGTCTTGCAATTATTTTTTGGGCCTCTTTGGGATTATGGTTTTAAAGAAGGGTTTTTGTGCAATTGACCAAGACTTGTGTGTGTTGACCATGGTATAAGATCACATAGTGAGTAAATAATTTATATTTCCTCTACTCACACTTCATCTAATTATATCATTTTCTTCCTCATTAAAAACCCTAGCCACCATTAGAGAAGTTTGATGCTTTTGCCTTGACCTTGATTTTTGAGGTCCTTCCACTTACCTTAGACCATAAGGCTTAGAATACTTTTTGTTCTCCTCATCCTTCTCTACATAACCCTTGAAGGGTTTGCCATTTTATGTTGATTTGCCTTGGATTCAAGAGAAACAAACCTCTTGTGTGGTAGAGGGTGTTATAGTTTATTTTTCAAGTGGTTTTAATTGCTTTGTAGTGAAATACAAGTTGTATGCATGTTTTATATCAATTTGAGAAATTAATGATTAATTATAGCTTACTTATAACTCACTTTAGACTTGATATATGGCATAGCCATGACTTGATCTTTGTTGTATATTAAATTGGGATGATTTAAATGAGTTTTCAAATCTAGACATTTAATGAATTTAATTTGATTTAAATTCTACTTGATTGTACTATGCTTGTATTTCATTTTTGACTTGATATATGGCATGGCCATGACTTAATTCTTGTTATATATTTACTTGGAATTATTTGAATAACTTTTGAAATATAGAAATTTAATTAATTTTAAGTCAATTAAATTCCACATGATGTTATCTTACTCACTTTGTGAAATTAATGTGATATTTGAAATCACCAGGCATAGACATTCACATATATTATTTTGAGAATTTTTGGACAACCTTGATTTCTAGAGAAATTAATTAAGTAGGTTAATTAATTTCTACTTAGTATTCTAATGAATTGGACATCGATTTCATGGGGCTTTTGCCTTTTTTATCATACATCATGGCTTATTGTATCTTGGCTTCATTAATGTGGTTAATGAACTTGTACCCTTACATTGTAATGATTTAATTGTTCAAGAGTTGTTAAATAAATAATTAAATCATTGATCTTATACTAGTGGTATATTTACAACAATGATTTCATGGACTTGATTAAGTTTCTAACTTGGTATTCATGATTTTCTTAACAAGTTATTCCACGTGTATCAAATTGAGAATAATTGGATAAATTTTGAAAGTTACATTTAATTATTTTCCTTGTATAGGACTTAATTTACATGGTTGTATCTCGCATAGAATGAACTTGTAACTTGATATTGAGTTTGCCTCTGACATGATTTCTTAACATTTCATATGCCATCATAGTTGAGAATCTAGGGCATGACTTGTGTGTTCTAAAATCTTAGTTGTGCATGGAACGTGATTTAATGCAATACTTATATCTTGATACACTCTTGGTTACACAATTTGTTGATTTGGAACTTGGGATATCAATCAAGAATTGACACAACTAGGACTTAGTTCTAGTACGGGGAGATAAAGAGCTCCCTACACTACAGTGTGCACTAGGGGAAGGTACCTATAGGTTAGTAGCTCTAAAGTGATCCCAAGAGTACGGTTTTAATCCGGGCGATATCCGAGTATTCACATTGGTTGATTTCACTCTTTAAATTTCAAGTTACTATTCTTTGAAGATTTAAACTTGTCGTGTTATGTGAAATGCTCCAATCTTGTTAATCATAGATATTATGCCTTATCCTTGATTTCGTGTATTAAACTTGTCGTGTTGTATGGAATGTTCCATTCTTGTTTACTTGCATAGATATTATGTTTTATCTTAGATTTCACTCCTTAAATTTCAAGTGTTATTCTTTGAAGATTTAAGAACCCTTTCGTGCTTCATGGAATATTCAACCTTGTTTCATTATATAGAATTTATGCTTCATCTGTGATTTTATTCCTTAAATTTCAAATGTTATGTTCCTTGAAGATTTAAGACCTTTTTGTGTTTTTTAAAATATTCCATCCTTGTTAAATTGCATAGATATTATGCATTATCCTTGATTTCATGCCTTGTCATTGTTGTGTTAATTGAATTGTTTCAAAATTGTTAATTTTCTTAGTTATCTCATTTCATGTTACTTTATGCTATCGTGACTTAAGAATGATCCTATGCATGTAACTTGACTTAGATTCTAGGTGGCATGGACCATATGGAATGATTTATATCAATTTGCAAAATCTCTAAACCCTTAGATTTCAAGTGTTATCTCTTCAAGATCTAAGAACTTTGTCGTGTTGTATGGAGTATTTCCTACCTTGTTTAATTGCATAGACATTATGCTTACTTCGTGTTTTCGGA